TAGTACTTGCATGTAATGTTTGCATACAATATGTCGCCATTGTACTAATGATTCTTTAATAGTTAGCTTATGCAGCAGCTGCTAATGTTTTAAATGACCGAACCAGATTTAGGAACTTCTTTAGCACTCTTGTCTCATTTCGTTATGTTAGTGAATCATTGGGACAATTAATGAGAGAGTTTGGATGGAGACAAATGTCAATCATTGCACAAGATGACCACTCTTTTGTTCAGTAGAGTAAGGTTAAATAATACAAAAGATTAAATATTTTATGGTTTACAGGTGACTGATGAGCTAGCCAGTGTTATTTTTAAAAATGAAGGGTGGATATTAGACAGATATGATGTCTTATCAGGACATAATCCTCTTCTTTTCTTTGACAGAGTTATAGTTATACCATTTTGTATTCATTAGTATTGATTTAACTTTTTTAGAGTGAGGCCCAGAAATTTAGAATTATTCACATTAATGCATATCCTGATATTGCTTATCCAGTGTTGTGTGAGGTATGATTGATTAAGATAATTTCTTTATGTGTACCTGTACCTGCAGGCATATTATAGAGGAATGTTTGGTTCTAAGTATCTATGGATACTCCCATCATGGTATAATGCCGGCTGGTGGAGGTCTAATAGTCCTTCATCTTCTAATAATGATTCATGTACTGATGAAATTATGATGCAAGTTATAGATGGGAGTTTAGGCTTAGTTCCTGATGGATATTTGACACTTCAGAACAAATCAATCATTACATTTTCTGGCCTGGTAAGTAGATACAATAGATGTGATATTAATTTTAATTCCTGTACTTTATTATATAGACTTCGGGTGTGTATCTTTCAAACTACACTGATCTACTGACAAATGAGCCTGTGTATGAAAACCTGACAGCACTAGGGCTGTCAGGAGTTGCATTTGATGGAGTGTGGGCTATAGCTGTTGCACTAGATATAGCATCAAAAAAGATATTATCACGTAATGAAAGTGGATGTGAGAATGTACCAGGAGATCTAGTACCATTAGAACGGTTTAACTATACTAACATGAAACTAGGCTGTATTCTGAGACAAAGCTTTAGTGAAGTTAACTTCCTTGGAGTAACTGTAAGCAGACATTGCACATCTATAGACGATATACAAATATTTACACGATTTTTTAGGATAAAATAAATACAAGTACATACATGATCCTGTTTTGTAAGTAGAAGAATAAAATCATGTATTTACTTAAGCCACGCCTTAATTGAATTTGGTGTGACCAAGTCAGAGGAGGTAGGACACGGTTGACCTTTGAGCAATAATTGCAAAGTTCAATTGCATTCCATTGGTATCACGTGATGAAAAATGGCAGCTTTCTGATGATTGTATCACAAAACTAGCTACTACTGCAGAAACTAGAGAGATC